TGCCAAGGTGCACGCCATTCCCATCTCAATTTCAACATTTATATTAAAACAAGCAATGAAATCAAGGATTTTCTCTAAATAGTTTTATCTTCCACAGGATTCAGACAGTGACGACTATGATAGTGACTATATTGCCGAGTCATCCAGCGGCAGTGACAGTGAACTGGATATACCCCAAGGAGGAAAGGTTACAGCATCTATGTTCTTAAAGAGGTACAGTGTGCTCACACCCAGGGTGTCGGAGCCAGTGTCAAGCCCAGAGTTTGCGGGTCAAATGTTGTCGATATTTATTGTTCAGAGACAAAAATGAAGATGAGGAAAAGATTAAAGAAAAGAAACTTAACAAAAAGAAGCAAGCAAAACAGAAAATGAAGGAAGATGTTGAGGAGGAGGATGAAGGAGCGGGATGGGAAGAAGTCAAGTCAAGTCATTCCACTGTGAGGGAGAAACTATTTAAACTAACTTTATTTATACTGGATATATCAGTTCTAAACTGTTCTTCCTAGAGGTCCAGTAAGGATCATCTCTTATTGATCCAGTGTTACTACAGGAGGAAACCTAAACTAAACTAACTTTATTTATACTGGATAGCTCTATCAGTTCTAAACTGTTCTTTTTAGAGGTCCAGTAAAGATCATCTCTTATTGATCCAGTGTTACTACAGGAAGAAACCTAAACTAAACTAACTTTATTTATACTGGATAGCTCTATCAATTCTAAACTGTTCTTCCTAGAGGTCCAGTAAGGATCATCTCTTATTGATCCAGTGTTACTACAGGAAGAAACCTAAACTAAACTAACTTTATTTATACTGGATAGCTCTATCAATTCTAAACTGTTCTTCCTAGAGGTCCAGTAAGAGTCATCTCTTATTGATCCAGTGTTACTACAGGAGAAACCTAAACTAAACTAACTTTATTTATACTGGATAGCTCTATCAGTTCTAAACTGTTCTTCCTAGAGGTCCAGTAAGTATCATCTCTTATTGATCCAGTGTTACTACAGGAAGAAACCTAAACTAAATTAACTTTATTTATACTGGATAGCTCTATCAGTTCTAAACTGTTCTTCCTAGAGGTCCAGTAAGGATCATCTCTTATTGATCCAGTGTTACTACAGGAGGAAACCTAAACTAAACTAACTTTATTTATACTGGATAGTTCTATCAGTTCTAAACTGTTCTTCCTAGAGGTCCAGTAAGGATCATCTCTTATTGATCCAGTGTTACTACAGGAGGGAACCTAAACTAAACTAACTTTATTTATACTGGATAGCTCTATCAGTTCTAAACTGTTCTTCCTAGAGGTCCAGTAAGGATCATCTCTTAGTTATTGATACAGTGTTATTACAGGAAAAAACCAAAACTAAACTAACTTTATTTGTACTGGATAGCTCTATCAGTTCTAAACTGTTCTTCCTAGAGTTCCAGTAAGGATCATCTCTTATTGATCCAGTGTTACTACAGGAAGAAACCTAAACTAAACTAACTTAATTTATTTATATTGAATAACTCTATCAGTTCTAAACTGTTCTTCCTAGAGGTCCGGTAAGGATTATTCCTTATTGATCCAGTGTTACTACAGGAGGAAACCTAAACTAAACTAACTTTATTTATCTTGAATAACTCTATCAGTTCTAAATTGTTCTCCTGGAGGTCCAGTAAGGATCTCTTAAATATCGTTTATTTCAGTTGAATGTAAGTGTTATATTTTTAGGAGAAAACCAGGGTAGTGTTCCCAAAAGATACTGAGATTAATATCCCTGTTATCCTGAAGAAGCTACACGAAATTCTTGGCGCACGAGGGAAAAAGGGAACTGATCGTACGGATCAGATCGAATACCTCAAAGATTTAAGGAAGATATCAGAAAAGCACAATTTAGGTGCGTGGTTAGGCTTCCTTGTATATTACTTCTTTCAGGGTGTCCACGGGCCTTGAAAATCCTGGAAAGTCCTGGAAATAATTTCCTTAACCTCCCGCTGTACCACATTAGTGATTTTGATTAAAATTACAGAATAAAGTGAATCAGAGGGCCAAATCCGTGCCATTTTCAAAGATTTTTCCCAGTTCTAGGTTCTTAAATTTACTGAAAAAGGGCCTTGAAAGTCCTGGAAAAGTCCTTGAATTTCACCAAAGGGTGGACACCCCTGTTCTTTGTTAGTTTGTGTTATTTCAAAACTTTAGAAAATAGAACTGTCCAGAAAAAAAGTTATTTAAGAACATTTCTAAGTTTCTATACTAAGCTGTTTGGAAGTTTGCTTTGATGTTTATTGTTAACACTGGAATTATTTTCAAAATCCTTACTACGGAAATAGTATCAATCTTGCCCCGTTTACACTACGCTCAATTTTTGGTACGGCACGGATAAAATTGGTACCCGTACCACTTTTTTGGTTCTTGGACTACCTATATTTTGAGCCCTGTTTACACTACGCTCGATTTTTGGTACCGTGCCACTTTTTTGGTTCTTGGACTACCTAAATAGGGTAGTCCAAGAACTAAAAAAGTGGTACGGGTACCAATTTTATCCGTGCCGTACCAAAAATTGAGCGTAGTGTAAACGGGGCTTTAGGTACCTATTTAGGTAGTCCAAGAACCCAAAAAGTGGTACGGTACCAAAAATTGAGCGTAGTGTAAACGGGGCTTTAGTTGACAATAGTATGGGAATCCAATTTTCATATACGAATTGCAATTTCCTTATTTATTTATGGATATAGTATGGAAATAGCATGGATACATTATGACTTTTGTGATGCAATCGCAATTTCCATAGTATTAATTTCACTATTTTTTCCAGTTAACCTAGGATTAGCCTAATCAATTTTCGAGCAATATATATATATAAGTTATTATCTAGTATATTCTCTCCAGGTCCTGCAATGAGTGTGAAGATAATGTTCAATATCATCGCTTCCATATTTGACTACAACCCAAATGTTGCCACTTGCATGAAACCAGAAATGTGGAAAAGGTACGTCCTTTCAAAAAAGAGTAGGCATTATTGTCGATTTCAAGTCACTTTTCAACGCGCGGTTCCCAAGTTCGTTGCGAACTTGCCAATCACGTTTCCAAGTTCGGAAATTGGGCGCGAACTTCACAACAAAGTTCGCAAGTTCATTTCAATGTTTGAACTTCATTTGTAAACAAATGTCCATACTCAGTGATAATAACCAACTCAATGAGATACAAACCTTCTTGGTAGCCCACTGGACCAAGAACTTTCCATTGAATTGTTAATTTCAACTTGAAGTATGAACATTTGTTTACAATAGTTGTACTTGTGAAATGTACTTGCGAACTTTGTTGCGAAGTTCACGCCCAATTTTTCAACTTGGAAACGTAATTGGCAAGTTTGCAACGAACTTTAGCCTGCATGGCAGGCGGTACGTAGGAAATACCGCCTGCCGCAAAACTGGGTGTAAATGAACTACCGCCCCTGAAGCATCAACGCTATTTATAGATGCATTAATTAAGTAAATATTCAAAATTAGCCACTCCCAAGTCCCAACTGCCCAACATAAAATAAATTCCTTGATTCTCATCACCGCCCGACTGAATTTTAAAATCCTCGTGAAAACGTTTTATTTTTAGTTACACAATATAAATGTACCGCCCGACAAAATAATTCAAGACAGTTAATTTTTTCATATTTTATATAGAGTTTTTATTGCCATTTTAAACTTCCAATTTGAAACAAACAGAATTTTGAGTGAAATTTCATTGTATTTTAAAGAAACTCAGTCATTCTGTCATTGTTCGTGGAGATACGAACTATTGATATATAAATTATATAAATATAAAATATAAAAAATAAATCTCCCACTGTCTTCGACATTTCAAAGTGTAGACTGTGTCTAGTGATGAGAATCAAGGAATTTATTTTATCTGTTAATATAAACCAAGCCCGTTTAGCTGCCTTAAAACGGTGGTTTAATAAGCTCAAAATACAAAGCATGCAAGTCTATACTATAGATTCATCATCAGTCAACAACCAAACTGAAAGTATTGAACCTTATAGAACGATAGTTTTTATTTGTTTACAACTATACATATTCAACGGGTATATAAGAGTTTAACTGTTATTTGACAATTACTGCATCAACCGGCCCCTTGTTTATACTTTGGAGGTTCGTATATAATATCTATCAAGTATCTTTGGTTCAGAACATGACTCATAGGCCTATATGGAAATCCCACTGTTCGATTCAGTGAAGAAATATTTCCTAATTTCTATCGATAGTTTTAGTAAAATGTCAACATTATTGCGATTTATGGCCTTTGAAAGTCAAGCGAGATAGTATATTATCAAATTAATACGCATGTAATTGTCTGAACGAAAATATAGACTAGCCCATACCTTTCGCCGATCATAACTTCGGCCCCTTCGGACGTATCTTCTTTGTTAAATATTCTTGTTCGAATCTCTATCAAAAACACTATTTAGAGTGTTATTTTTCAGCTTGTGTCTTTTAATTTGCTTCTTTTATTATGTTATTCCATTTCTGGTCTGACTTGACGTGAACTAATTTCAAAACGCAGAGTTTCAAAACGTCAAAACATTTGGTTAATGATTAACATTTAACCGAATTTAGCCGTTGATTGACAACTACATAAAAAATACTAACCAATCCGTTTTTCCCGTTCACCAGCGGACGGGTAATTCAAAAACCCCTAGTTTTGCGGCAGACGGTATTTCCTTTGCTTCCCTAATTTTCGCTGCCCGTAGAAATACCGCCTGCCATGCAGGCTAAACGAACTTGGGAACTACGCGTTGAAAAGTGATTTGAAATCGACGACACCATTTTTATTTTTTCAGCATAATCAGCAATATGATACCTTACTTCCCATCCCTCCCTGTACGCATAAACTAAAAGCTGGAATTGCCTATTTACCTATGCAAAATTCCTACTTCAGAATTTACCTATGCAAAATTCCTACTTCAGAATTTACCTATGCAAAATTCCTACTTCAGAATTTACCTATGCAAAATTCCTACTTCAGAATTTACCTATGCAAAATTCCTACTTCAGAATTTACCTATATGCAAAATTCCGACTTCAGAATTTACCTATGCAAAATTCCTACTTCAGAATTTACCTATGCAAAATTCCTACTTCAGAATTTACCTATCCAAAATTCCTTGCAACACAATTCAAATACAGCGATTTCTTAGCCTTAACACCTGAACTAAACCTTATCCGATTATCATACCCCTTGTTTATACAGGGCTCCATTTAATGGGCCACCCTGTTAAGATGTTGTTAAATACATTAAATATTTCTAACTTTATAAAATTTTATACTGTGCATCAAAGTTATTGTGACAGCATTTTGAGATATATGGAAAGTACTTTGCCTTGAAATCTGTGGTGTGTTTGCAGTTGTCTAGATTACGTGGATGAGTTGTTGACAATACTCAATGATAATCCAACTATGACTGTGGGAGAAAATATTGCGGAGGATGCTGAAAACTTAGAGGTAAATTGTTTTGAACACGCGGGGATTTTACCGAGTTGCCTGTTGGCACACAGTTCGACTCGAAGGAGAGGGGGGGGGGTGACTCCATCTCTCAAGGAGGATGTAAACTTTCCTGAACTACAGAAAACTGCGTGCTGCCCCAGCTGCCCGATATTTTCCAGCACTGTCGCTTCGGAATGGAACGAACGCATTTGTCTCATGAGTTCAGGACAATGAATAATCTCTCTGACATACACACTCTCATTCAAAAAACTTCAAAACTCTCATTCAAAAAATTTCTTGTTTTTTTTGTAGAATGCCGAGGGTGAAGGTGGCTACAGAATTCGAGGTTGTATTTTAATCACAATTGAAAGGGCGGATGACGAATTCACAAAAATGTTGCAGGGATGCGATTGCCATTCGACAGAATACGTTGATAGGTAAGAGTGAGGTAATAAAATTCAGGGTGTTAGCTAGCCCATATACTGTCCGTTTGACGGACTCTTCCCAATTGAATTCCCAATTTCTGATGAGAAAGTGCATTGCGTTTGATTTTATATTATTATATCAAAGAACGTTTTATTTATTTACTTTTTCCCATTAACTATTTTCTCAAAATGTATCATGTTTCGTTCATCTTGGGTGTGTATTCACTGAAATGAAATGTACAAAACAAAGTGTAATCGGTGTGCATCCGTGTTCATTCACCGGAAATGAAATATACAAAACCAAGTGCCATCGGGTGCATTTTCAGTGTTCATTCACCGGAAATGAAATGTACAAAACCAAGCTACCGTTGTTTGCATCTAAGGAGAAACACGTTGGAAAAAAACACTATTTATTCCTACACAAGGACTTTGATCGGTCAAAAAAACTTTCCCAATTTACGTTTAATGGACAAAACCTTTTTTCTGGCTAACACCCTGGGTATATAGAACCAGTCAACCACAATGGACCCAACAAGCTTGGATAAAAACAATAGAAAGAGACTGAAACTCACTTCCAATAGAACGTCCATCTTCGGTTTCACTTTTTCGACTCGAGTTCTCACTCAGCTCCAGATATATATGGAACTCACTGACTTCGTCTCACAAAGTTGTGCGCACTTCCTGCCTCCCCCCTCCTT